TGGCCATGTTGAACCAAGAGGGCCCAGACCGGCAGCAGTACGAGGTTTACATTACAAGCATGAAGGACAAACTGTTCCATCTGACAGTAACCCTCGACAGGTAATGGTAGCCGCACTAAATTCTCGAGTAATATATTCGACTATTTTACTTATACAAGTAAACACCTCCTCTTTTGAAGCGCCACACGTTTTCATTTAATACATTAAATCACCGGTCGCTAATATATCGAGATTAAGTTTTATCGAAGTCCTAGCATTTCAAAACAAGGCATTCTACATCTCAGAGTACTAATCGCGTTTCCGGTTCAGTGCCCAGACATTCAGTAGCAGTCTACGGCTGCTGGAAAGTAAACTCCAGGTCAGAGGACACTACGACCACCCTGACGCAGACCACCTTAAGACCGCCGTTCAGATGACCTTCACGCAGCCCTCTGGCGAGACCTTCACGTCCGACCTTCATTTGTCTCACGCTTACGATGGCTCCGTGAGAGATATCAAGGTAGAGATGCATCCCGTTTTTTTACGTGTATATGCATGTTACGGTTTATTCTGGACTGCTAAATCTAATGCATAAGCCACGTTAAATTTATATCTTTATCTGTTAATATTTTAGGTGGCATCAGTTAGCTTTAAAATGTTTGTTAGTGTGATTGCGTAATTGTTGTCTTGAGCATCCAAGGGAGATGGGAAATAAAGCTCACCTTTGGCATCTCACAGGCTTCTTCCACGTACAACGGCGACGTGATTGAAGGTCTGGTGAAAATCACAAACCGAGATGGGTGGTTCTCCGACGACTCACGCGGACTTGCATTCACCTTCACGACACCTTTCAACCGCCTCAGAAGGGTCGGCTTCGCCTTTGAAGCCCACGGCAATCCAGCAGCAGGTGGATTCGCAGAGTTTGAATGGGACGAGCTGAAGGTAAGATAAATGATAGATGAAATTCACCGACTGTATGATTCTCTTAGCTCTGTTCATCTTCGGGGTGATTTTAGTTTACATTACTAAATAATTAGTATTTTAGGTTTTATAATTACTTGATAAAAACATCATTAGCTGCATTAATGATTCTACTTGTGATCGCATCAGATTCGTGGCGAGTCTCAAATGAGCGACGATATAGAGGTTAAGCTTCAATATGAAGATGGTGGAACCTGCGACTCTCACCTTCACCTTTATCACAAATACGATGGTGAACATTACATGACTGGCGCCAGTCTCGCTCTTACCCCTTCTTACGACCCATGGAAGATTGAACTTATCACTACCAAAGCACAAGAAGTAGCGGGAGACTTTGTCAGTCTTGAACTCAATCTGAATTCCCCCATCAACACTGCGCCCTTCCAGATTCAAGGATTGTATAAGTTCACTGACGATGAAATTGACCTTGAACTTCAGGCAGGAACCGAGAGTGACAAGACTTCACTTTCATTCTCTGGGAAGAACGAGCTGGACTGGGGAGCACGAAGATTAACTGGATCATTAGAGTTTAACTCTCCATGGGTTCAGCCAGTAACAGTGAATGTTACAAACATTCATGATGAGGAATACTTCAATGTTACTTTCGATCTCAGGTCGTCACTAAAATACATCAACACTATTGCAGCAGAATTCAGTGCCAACTATGCTGTTCCCGAGGAAACAAAGGCTCATTTCTACCTCTCTCACAAAGATGTTCAGGCAACAATGGAGATGAACCACAAATTCAGTGAAGCTGGCCTAAAACAGCATCTTCACGCATCAGTTAACACAATGAGTGTTAGCTATGAGTCTGAAGCAGCCTGGGGAGAAGACCTGGTCCCTCAAAGTGCAAATGGACGCATTACACTCACAGACATTTTTGGCCAGAACATGGATTTGTCTCTCAGGCATTCTAAGGAAGCTGAGCGCTTCGTATCTCAGCTCTTTGGTACCTGGAATGTTCACACATTCCACTTCGACCACACTCTAGATTACCATCGTAGCCTAGAGTGGACAAGCAACAGCCAGTTAACTATACCTAACTATGAAGATCCCATAACTCTGCAGCTTGTTTTGAATGCTCAAGAAGACCTTTCAACTTTAGATTCGAACCTGCACCTAACAACTCCTTGGACAGAAGATTTCATCGCAAAACTATACTTTGATTTTTCAGATCCTAGTGTCCCTAGTTACAGATTTGATTCACTGTATGGTGATGCAACTGTATTCAATATTGAAGCAGAGCAATATGCACCATTTGCCTGGGAACATGTTGATGTAAAGTTAAAAATGAAATCACAGTACTTTGAAGATGTTGAAATCAGGTGGAAGCACAACTTTGAATCAAACACTCACATCTACCTAAACACTACTTATGGCTCCCAATACCATATTCAAGGAGAAAGCAATCTGCAATTTGAAGAAAGTTACTTTGGCACTGGAGCTTTCGTGATGTATAATTTCACAGCCAAGGCAGACCTCCTTGATCAAGAAGTACATTTCCAAACCGGTTTGAGCTTCGATTCCCAGTACCGTGGAGACCTTGAAGTGACCTGGGGCGAATACATCTTGTTTTTCAAGACTGATGTACCAGATGGTATAGTGTTCAAGGTGCTTGTAGGTGATCCTGAGGGTGATTATGTCGCTGAATTAACACATCTCAAAGGTAGTTCTGATATTCCAAACCTTCGATTCCGTCTCTCGAGGAATAATTCAGACATTTTCCTTTTGAAATCTGAGATCGAGAATTATTATCCACACTTTGAAGGTATGTTTGTTGCAAGTTATTATCCGGACAATGACTCACCACAGCATACAGAGATGAAAGTATTAGCTGACATGAGTGACCTGGAGGACTATGGATTTAAAGGAAATTTCAAAATTAATTCCGATTTTGAAGGTTTTGAGAACCTGATGGGAGAGTTGGACTTTGACCTAACCATTGAAGATAGTTACCTAGCTGGGCACCTTACTAATCAATTTGACTTTAATGAGTGGCACTTCAATTCCAAAGTTAACTGCTCCCTCAATTTAGACAGACAGTTCCAATTTGAGTATCAAAGCGAGTACGATCTCAGTGTTGAAGGTGAACTTTATGACATGAAGGAATTGAGCTTTTTGCTCAGTATAAATTCTGAAGTAGTGCAGACAAAATTCAACTTGAAATATAGTCCTAAAGCATCTGAATGGTCATTTTTCTGCTATTATCATCAAGATGACATGGACTTCAAAGGATATATCATACCTGGCAATGCAAGAAAGTATGAGCTAGCAGCCAAGGTTGCTAACAGTACCCTCAATCTGGATGCACAAAGAACCGACGAATTTGGTTCAAGATTCATAGGCCTCAAAGGCAATATTAACTGGAGTGTCAAGAAATTTAAGAAACAGTTCACAGTGAACATGAACTCAGACATCCCTGAGATAAAGAAAATTACTCTTCACGTTTTCATCCAGCAAAGACGAGGATTCATGGCAACTGCAAAACTAAAAGTAAACCAAGAAAACTTTGTTGGCAGTGTGAGATATATGAGCAGAAAAGGAGGTGAAACTGGGCGAATCACAATAAAAATGGAGAACGAAATCTTCTATCCTTTCGATACAGAAACCACAATCCAGTATTCCATTGCACCAGATGATTATCGAGCTAATATTGTTACTAACCTGAATGAGAAGAAGTGGGCTTCCTTAGATATGAAAGCTAGTCTGAAGGAGTCCTACTTAAAGATTGAGTCTCCTTTCCCAGTTATTGAGAATGTTGATATTAAAGTGAATCTTCTAACTGAAGAGGACTTTGGCCTGACAGTGACAGCAACTGGAACCAAATTTTGCTTTAACCTTGAAAGTTCTTTGAGTCGTACTTTTACATCTGGAGAATTGAAAGCGAATTACCAAGCAGAATGCAGTGAACCTTCGCTATTTGACCTCAGTGCTAAATACGAATATCCTTCCGAAACATTTGAAGTTCATTTGCATATACAAGATATTGTCAGTTTCGATGTTTCTAGCATTCGAGATCAACATGAGAGAGTTTTCAAAGCTGAAGTCACGATTAGTGCTGGACCCTCCTATGGTGTATTAATAAGTAGTGGATTCGATTTTAACTACTTCCAAGTGAAGTTATGCTTATACAGTCCCTCCTCTGACTCAAATTACTTCCTGTTCACTTTCTTTGTCTCCAAAACAAGATTCGAAATTGGTGTAGAAACAACAAGGAAGATCTTCCATACTGAGTTTACATACAATCTCCAACTACAACAGTTTATGTTAGAAGGAAAATATTTCAGTGATTTCTTTGAACCATTTTCTTCAGAGCTGCATATAAAAGGTCATATTGACTCTGACATGGGTGAGGCAGAAGTTTCTCTATTGTCAGATGACAATACAGTGAATTCAGAATTTATCATGAACTATGATCTTCTTAAGGAACCCAAAACTGGGAACTTCAAGCTAACTTCTCCAAAAGGTGATGCTGAGGGCCATGCAGATTTCACAATTACTGATGGATATATATCAGTTACAGGTGAAATGCTATCCACTCTCCATTCATTCCACGAATATACATTCAAATTTGAGGGAAATCTAAATGATGACCATCCACAATTTCAGCTTTTAATTACTCAAGATAACAACACTTATGAGGTCACTGGCGACCAGCTAATGGTAAATGAAATGATGAAAAGCAAGCTTTTTGTCTCAACACCATTCCACGGATATGAACACTTTGAATTTAGTTATGGCACACCTGTTTCCGACTCAGAGCAAAGAACATACCATGCAGGACTCAACATGACTATATCAGGTGACTCATATGGAGTTGACATTGCCCACAACCATCACACTACTTGGAGTGACCAAGATACAGAGATTTCTATTTTCACACCAAGGAAGATCATTGATGCATTCAAGTTTGCTTTCATGTACAATATTGAAGGTGAAGCATCAGTATCATTTGACCATGCTCGCGGCCGTCTTGGCTTGGCTGGCTCTTTCCGTCCTTCCGACACGAACATCTCGTTGGAAATCCTTCCAGATTTGACCTTCTTTGATGCTGGAGAGTATATTTTCATGGCTAACATTCCTCTAGTAATGGATGAAGGCGGGGAAATCCGCTTAGAACGTCGCCAAACAGATTTTGACTTTGTGGCAAATATGTCTCTTGCAAAAAGATTTAAATCTGGCCAAATCGTCGTAAAAATAATAGAAGGAAATGCTGAGGAGTCAAATGCATCATATAGTCTAAGTTTTGTGCTTAAGAATCCACGAAATATTCAGGTGGATGGATTTTTTGAAAACTGGGAAATGAGATCTGCAATCAAGCTAAGAGGGAAGAAAACTGCTGCTTCTACTGGTAACATCACTGTGACCACCAATATACCCGGATATGAAGACATGGAAGCTGGCTGGGACATAGGAAAGAAGAAAATGAGTTATTTTATGAACTTGAGGTTAGACATGAAAGAAAATGGGAACATGGATTTCAAAGGCAAAGTAGATAACCAGAGCCTCGACATACAGTTCACTTCAACATTCACTAAAGATCACCATGTTATTGCCGAGTACCAGATGAATCCATTAATCCTCAAAGCGACTTATCAGTATGGTTTGGACAAATTTGAAATTGATTTTGATTCACAGTTTGATCCAAGAGAAGGTATGATGAAATTAATTGCCAGTTTGCCTTTCCCTTATGTATCAAAGCTCCAAATTGGTATGAAGTACAGTTTCTTTGATAATTACGATCTTAACATCAATGCTGCAATTGAACACATTCTTTTTGAATGTGGCTTCAATTTAGCATCTGATGGAAGCAATGGAGACTTTATATTAAATCTGATTACTCCCTTTAGTAATCCAACCAAAGTCAAGATCAGTTGGTCAGTAGATGGAACCCCGCTCAAATTCGAAGCATTTTATATCTATGGACATGAAAGAGGTGGACTGAAACTTGACCTCGAATATACAAATACCACTGTTGATATGAACATTAATGTCATGACACCTTTTGATGGAGCTTCTGAAATAACATTCAATTTTAAATATGATGGAATTGGCCCTGGACCTACTGAGGCCTCCATTGACTTGAGTGTGGACTATCATAATATCAAAATATCAACAAGCTTTGAAGAGGGAAACAACAGCATGGAAATAATCAGCAGTGCATCACTGGATTTCTTTGGCTTTCAAGGACAATTTGAATTAACATTCAATCGTAATGGTCTTGAAAACAATCTGCATCTACAAGGAGATCTGAAGGAGTATGATCTTGTTGATTTCAGTTTTAACTTAAATGAAGGCAGTATCCAATCAGATTTGAAATATGGAAATGTAAATATATTTGTGGCAAAGTTTGAGTTCTACAGTATCAGTATTCAATCTGCATGGTCAGAATCTCATTACTTTAACTTTGATGGAAAGTATGAGTCCACTGATGATGGCCATCAGCTTGAACTCTCCATAGAATCGTCTGAGATGCAACCTATTGCAGTACAGGCAAGCTATTCTGGCGCAAAGGGTCATGAAGGTAATGTGAGCATAAGCCATGGAGATAAACAGTACGATCTAAGTGGAAATACTGTTATTCAGAAGAAAAAGTCTGGGTTCGAACTGCATTTCACTTCTTCAGAAGATCCTTATCATCCATTTAACATGGAGGCTCAGTACAATATTAATGCCTTTGCCAAAGGTAACATGGGTGCCATGGAAGATTTAGCTGGTATTATGTTGGAGTGGGGAGACAAAATAGATGTCTCTGTTACAGGGATGCGCAAGGGCGATCGAGCTAAGGTGGTTGTTGAGATTATTACACCTTTTAAGGCCTTGCCCCGACTGAGCTTTGGCTTTGATGCTGAATTTTCGCTTAAAAGGAATCTCACACAACTGACGCTAACAACATTTGCTGAATGGACTCAAAAGATAACTTTGTCAGGCTTCTTTAAGTCTAAGAAGAATGAACTGGTCTTTAACTGCAGTTTAAATACACCATTTACAGAAGTTCAGAAATTGTCAGCAAACTTCACATGGAAGCCAAATCAAGTAGAGGCTTCCTTTATTCATAATGAAGATGAATGGAAAATTACAGGCAACTATGAGTTTACACAAACTTATTCTGTTCAAGTTACAGCCCAGACTCCTCTAAAGGATTTTGACTTAATAACTTTCAATGTAACAACTGGAGTTCAAGACAATAAGTTTGTGCTCACAGCAGAAATGACTTGGCCTGAAGAAAACAACATTCACTTTGAACTGGAGGCTCAGGTGTGGAAGATGGAAATGAAGTTCAACAGCCCCTGGATGCCGTTCCAAGAAGTCATCTTTGAGATGTCTCTACAGACAGAGAGTGAAGACGGAAAGTTTAGTGCAAAACTTGAATGGGACAATCATAACTTCGTCATGACTGCCATCCTCTCTCCTATGCGATCACAGTTTAATGCTAAGTTCCAGAGAGAAAACAGCGACATCTTCGGTGCCACATTTGAATACAACTTTGGGGAAGGTGAGTTCAGATTTGATGGTGAAGTTACCACTCCTGTCGCACCATTCGAGAAGCTGGAAGCTAAATTACACTGGAGCTCAGTCAGTGGCAAATTTGTCATATATGTTGCAGATTTCGAATGGACTTTGGAAGCTCAGAATGACTGGAGAAACCTTAATAGCTACATGTCGATTCCACACTCCAGCAATGAACAACCTCTCAACATCATTTTCAAATATGAAGTCCAACCAGATGAATATAAGTTCTCTTCGGTCTTTGAAGTGTCATTAAAGGAATCAAGCGAAAAGTGGGTGTTGATTGACATAAAGTTTGAGGATCCATGGACAATTAAATCCTCCATTTTTAACACAAATGTAGAGGTAGAAGTAACAAAACCTAACCGAAGGAAGTTTAATGTACATCTGCACATTGAATCCCAAGAAATGGGTTTGGAATCGGTGCTTATTGATGCAGCCATCAATCACAAACAAAACTTCAAGATATTCAGCATCACTTCAACTATGTCAGTAAAGCCAGTCCATGGAGAAGCAACTAAGCATGAACTTATTATGGACTATGAAATAATTTCTAACCACTTCTCCATGAAGGCTGAGATTCATAGTGATTATATTGATGTTCCTTATGGATTCATCTGTAAGATTCCACTGATACTTGCATTCGGACCTGGAACATTCAACTTCGCTGTGACTAGAGAAGGAGAACAAGTGTATAAAGTATCTTTTGATACACTTTACCCAGATGATGAAACCGAGACTAGAATCCTCAAAATCAAATCTCCTGAATGGTCAGTCACATTGACAGTGTCTTACAGTATCGACAGCTTCAGCTTCGCATTGTCCTACCCCGACTCAGCTACTGAGCATACTCTTCAAATCAACTGGAATGAGGACATTAGCTTTGAGAAGGTCGTATTCAGTCTGGAAATGAATTCCCCATACTTGAAAGAAAATACATTTTTACTTGAAGTCAATTTCAATGTACGTGCTTTGTTTTCTTTTGTTATCAATGGAAAAGCCACATTGGGATTAAAACAATTGGATTTCACAGGCCAGTTTCAGTATAACAGACAACAGCAGCAGGTGCAATTTGATGCACATGTATCCTCTGACTGGACAGGTAAACATTCCCTAAACTACAACATTCAGTGGCAGAGGGAAATTATATTTACTGCAGATCTAAAGGTTGACGGTGAGGATCACAAGGCAAAACTCACTATAGACTCCACTACCTATACCATGCGGATGACAGTGAATTCATCTTGGTTGCCACACAAAGATATTGTGATAATCGGAAAAGTTAATGAGGACTTCACACCATCTAATATACAAGTTGAAGGTAAAGTAACAAGTGCTGGGGATACCCTTTTGGAAGGAAATTTCGAAAATCATGGATTCCAGATGATCAAATCAGAAGTCAGAGTGAAAAACAAGTGGGAAGTGTTCCAATCTAGATTTGAATTTGAGAACTCGGACAATAAAGTATACCTTAACTGGTACATGAGCAGCATTCTTCCAGAGCTCAATGCTAACTTCAAAATTCAATATGATGAAAGCGATGTAATGCGAGGATTAAGAGTAAATGGTAAGAATTATTTAACCGGCACTTTTTCGCTACGCATTGATAATAGTAAAACATGGTATAAACGGCAAGAGGTTTCAGTCAGGATGGCTAGCCACAGTCTTTCACTTGTGTCAATACATGGAGGAAATGGTAATAGAGTTACGGTAACCTATGACAAATATAACATGTTCATTCATTATAACTTCTCAAATGAGATCAAGTTGTCAGTTTCCTTTTCAACTCCTCTGCCATCTTTCAAAAATGCTAAATTATATTTCTCCTGGCCACAGGAAAGGTCGGAAAAAGAATTGGACATTTCATATGCAACAGAAGACGATGAATATGAATTCCATATGTCTATTATGCCAGACCCTATCATTGGATGGGCTTGTAAAATCAGTGTCATAACGCCTTATAAAGGATACGAAAAGTTTGTGATCCAGACTCCACAATTTGGAGAGAACATGCCCGACTTTGCTGTTATGTTTGAATACCCAGGAGGAAAAGTGGGAGCAGAGATTAAGTATTACATGAGACGATGGAGTTGGTGTGATCTTAGATTGTCACTAAATCTGCCTCTAGAAAAATATGAAATCGTTTCCCTGAAATACATAATGGGAATGAGAGATAATATTGCAACAGTAGAAGGACGTATTGGCAAAGTTGGATTTACATACTCTTTAAAAACATTTGCTTCTCCTTCATATGATGGATTAGTGTCTGTAGTCCGTGTAAATGAAATTACCTTGCAAACTATTATTCGATTAAACTCAAAGAAAGACGCACTGGATCTCCGCACCCATACTGAAATGCAAACTGAAAATGAAGCTGACTTGAAGTGGCTAGACACAAGGCTTTTGATTAACCTAGATCGTAAGATCTATTTCCAAGTGGAAAGTCACGAAGAAGAACTCCTTAAACTCCATATAGAGTGGGGTAGTGACAGAATATTTGCAATAACTACAAGTAAAAACTTCCCAGCTT